ATGAGTTTAGCCTCCTGCTCCGAAAGTTGAAGTCCGCCCAGTTTCTGACTATGATCTTCTTCTTCCATAATGAACACTGAAACACTCCAAGTTGAGAGATGAAATAAGAGCCTGTTCAGAAAAGAAGACAAGGAAGAGTCATAAAAGAGATTAACACTAATTGAGGGAGCAGATAGATTAAGAAAGAGGTTAGGAAAAATAGAAATAAGAGCAAGGGGTAGTAAAAAAGGAGATAACGAAAGAGAAGGTGACTATTAGTTAAGAGAATCTGGCCGCGCGTAGCTGGAATAGTGCTCACAAGTGAGAATTATCGCCTTCTTCGCAAGGAAATTATATGCCTTTTCATGTGAACTCAAAAAGTTACTCAACTTAAATATTGAAAAAATTTAATAAGTCCAATTTGTTAAGTTGTAGAATATGTTGGTAGAAAAATTGTAAAAGTTCATGTAAAAAATAATATTCTTTTGAGTTTGAGAACGAGTTTTTCGGTTGGAAATGAATTACTGCAAAATATGACAAGTTATTGCAAAATCCGTTTGAGAATGAATTTTTCGGTTGGAGATTGTCTAAACTATAATTCCGCTTTCTTAGTTTTATTTATATTTAATTAAAGTTTATGTGAAACTAAACCTGGTTTACTTTTGTAAAATGTTCCCTTTGTTTATTAGTAAAACATATACAAGTCTGTTCTATAAACCTCAACACTCAAATGATAAATAAATAATAAATATATAAAGATTCTAAAAAGTGTGTCAGAATTCAAATTGAATGCAATGTTCAAATAATTGACGCAAGCGCTTACATAATAATGTCCAAATCATTGAAGTGAAAGATAAATAAATAAATAAAATCTATAATTATCAAATTCTTTCAATAAATAAAATCTATAATTATCAAATTCTTTCAAGAAAACTAGACTTCAACCACAAAAATTCAAAAGCCCTTCAAATTCTCAATTTCATAAACACACAGAGCGAGCACACACAAAGGTCCCACATACGGCGCCAAATAATAACGTATAACTCTCCGACCGGCTAGAATCCTAGTACTCACCTTCCTTCTCGCCGGTTGAACGACACGAACCTACAAAGAACTCTCACATTGGAGGGGTTTTCCGGTGAAGAGAATCCAAAACTTAAGTCAATGTTTGTTCAATCAATTCTCAAAGGTAAAGTGAAAAATGATCATGTTCAACAAGAAAGACTCACCCCCTATTTATAAGGGTGAGATACCTGACCTAGGGGCTACCCGAATTTGGTGAGCTGTCTGCCCCAACTGACCGCCCGTACACACACAGTGTGCGTGTGTCAGAAGTAGCCGTCGCCGCTATCCTCTGCACCAATATCCGTTCGACACGTGTCTTGTGCACATGGATAAAATATTCTCCCTTTATTCCCCTGACATCACTCTGACAATTCCGTTAGAGACTCTCGCAATTGACCTTATCTAAGTCAATCTCTCAAGTCTTGCCCCTAGTACAGGGTGCTCAACCATCAGACTATCTCCAGCCCTTGTATCGACCACCAGGGCAACTCTCTGCTCAATCACGTCGGTTTTCGACCAGACTTTCTCTGTCCTCGGGGTTGCTCTATGTACCAAAATATTCGTCCTTTAGATCCTGAGGTTATCCCACTGGGGTCATGTTCCCCCTACATCCTTTCGACCGGCTTTGTCTCCTCTATGTTCGACTTAACTCGACCCACTCGTTGGACCGGTTCACTCGATGAGGTATAATATCCCATATCATATTTAAATATTTTTATATCCAATTAATTTTCATAATCAACCAAAAGTGCATAAATTTAAAAATTAATATGTAAGTTGAATAATTTATATTTATATTGTCATTGTAGTGATGATAAAATTTATAAATGTGATATGTTCATTATCTAATTTATGTTTTTTAATTTTTTTTATAAAACACACACATACACACACACATCTATTGTTGCTATCTATGTGGATCTTGTTATGTACAAATCACGAATTCAATAGCAAATGTAAATCTATGCACAACAGAACTAAAGGTTTGACGTAGTAAACTTACGACTTAAAACTTTTGGCGATCTGGCTGATCTTCTGGATGGTCGTACACAACACACGAAATGGATTGAATCACGAAGGGAACGCCAGGCTCGCAATCGGATTATGTGTGTTGGATTTCGGGCTCGAAAGTCACCGGTTTGGGTCGCGGGCCATTAAATATTGAGTTCCCATAAACAAGGAAACCTTGTATATTCTTTTTCTGTTCAACTGGAACTCCCACTGCAGTAGAATCTTAGT